CAAAGAGGAAGTCTAAACTTGATAGAAACTAAACAAAAGTAAAGTGGCCTTATAATAGAACAAGTGTGTAGGTTTTTCTAAGCCTTTAATAGCTATCCTAAACTCATAAAATCAGCTCTAAAGTCTCTATTTTTCTTCTTCAATTAGGTGCCTAAAGTTCACTCAATTTGCTAACATAAACTTCTCTCACCAAAAACTCAAAATAACAACTAAGTCCTCAACACATTTACATAAAACCATATAATATAAATATAAAATGATGATTCATCATTAAATCAATCATAATAGAGGTAAAATATCATATCAAATAATCATAATAAATATCATTTTTCTTCATAAGTTTAGCACATTGAGTTCTCACATCGAGCTAGTTGCACTGCACATTAAAACTGAAAACTCGATTAGCAAAGCTATAAGTTTAATAAAATCATATGATAGCTATAATAATAAAATATAATGTCAACAAATAACTTTTAGGTAAATGGTAAATGTGATGCATGATTTTAATTTACTAAATTTATTTATTATTGGCTTAAGGCTTAATTAAATCTCGGGTATTATAGCAATCATGATGCATCTCTCTAATTTCAACTTGAAACCAAGCTATATTCCACTCTCCAAGGTCCAGATCAATCTATTTCTGATTTTCATTCTCAAGTAACTAGTCTGTGGGATCAATTGAGTGCTGCAAATCCTCAATTCCAGTGTGTTGCTGATCAAGTCATGTTTACTGAGTATATTGATCACCACAAATTTATGCACTTCATAATGGCACTTGCCAAGATTTTGAACCTGTTCGTGCCAGTCTTTTGCATCGTCAACCTCTTCCATCTCTTGGCATAACCATTGCTGAACTTATTTCCAAAGAGAATCGACGCTCTACTATGAAGTTGCAGTCTATTGACGTGGTCATGGTTGTTCCATCACCAGGGAAATCTTCTCCCTCTCCAGGTAACTTCTCTACTACATAACCCACATATCCATAACCTTTCTCTTCTCGGAATGTTGTATGCAAGTATTGTAAGAAGAAAGGCCATTCAGTTGAAGAGTGCAAAAAGCTTCAGGCCCGTAAAAAGGCTCTATAGGTTCAGCATCTTGCTTCTCAAGCAGCCGCTGTGTCATCCCCTGATTCATCTGCCATTGAGTCTTCTTCATCCATTAATGCTCCTTTTCCGACTGCCAACCTATCTGCTGCAGATCTTGAAGCCATAGTTCATCGAGTTCTTGCCCACAGTTCTACTGCCCTATCTGTCAATCTAGGTAAATCTAAAACTCCCTGGTATCTTGATTCTAGTTGTTGCAACCACATGACCTCAGATCCATCAACCTTATCCAGTAAGCTCGTTCCTAATGTCTCACCTCACATTTACACTGTTGATGGTTCTTTTGTGACTGTTAGTCATATTGGTACTATCTCTACCCCTACTTTGTCAATACCTGATGCATATTTGGTTCCTAAGTTGTCTCTCAATCTTCTTTCTGTGGGACAACTCTGTGATCTTAGCCTTGAATTGAAATTTACTAACATCGGTTGTGATGTACAGGATCCCCAGACAGGACAGGTAATTGGGACAGGCCATAGAGTTGGACGACTGTTTGCGCTAGACTCTCTACAACTCCCATCCAAGTTCACCTCTTCAGTTGCGCTTGCCACCATTTCTTCAAATCTTTGGCATTCTCATCTCGGTCATGCCTCACTCCCCCGTGTTAAACATCTTGCATCTAGTGGTCTTTTGGGTGATGTTTCTTTTCAGCCTTTTGATTGTACTTCCTGCCATTTAGGCAAACAAACTCGATTTTCATTTAATAAAAGCAATTTTGTTTCTTTTACTCTGTTTGATCTAGTCCACACTGATATATGGGGGCCTGCCCCCACTCCTACTAAGGGGGGATCTCAATACTTTATCATATTTGTAGATGATTTTTCTCGCTACACTTGGATCTATCTTCTAAAAAATCGATCAGAACTTCCTTATATATATATGGTTTTTCATAAAATGATTCAAACACAATTTTCGTGCAATATTAAAATCCTTCGTACTAATAATGCAATGGAATATAAAGAGAAATCACTCATTGATCTTACACAAAGTAATGGGACTCTTTTTCATCGTTCATGTCCAAACACATCCCAACAGAATGGACGTGCTGAGCGGAAACACTGTCACATTCTTGATGCAGTTCGTACTCTCCTTATTTCTGCTTCTCTTCCAGAACACTTTTGGGGTGAAGCAGCTCTCACTGCTATTTACACAATTAATCGAGTTCCATCACCTAGAATCCATAACAAAATGCCATTTGAGATACTCTATGGGAAGTCCCTTGATTATTCCAGACTCCGTGTCTTTGGTTGTGTTTGCTTCATTACACTTCCTCCCCATGAACGTACCAAACTCGATCCTCGGTCTCGTCTCTATCATTTTCTAGGATATGGCATTGAACATAAAGGTTATCGATGTTATGATCCTATCAGTTGTCATCTTTGTATTTCTCGAGATGTCACCTTCTGGGAACACAAGTTCTTCTCTAGTATTTCCTCATTTTCCTCTCATCCTTCAAGTACTTCTGTCATTTTTACTGACTCTTCTATTGCTTTGTTCCTAGAATCTTCTGAGTCAGTTGTAGGTGATTCTAGCGCTCACAGTCAACCAACTCTTGCTGATTCCACTGCTCCTAGTCCGATTGAGGTTCCTCCTGCTACATCACAATCACTTGAGATACTTCCACCCCTTGCTCTCACATAGCCTAAGGCCACCTCGACTATTGACCTTCGTCGTTCTGATAGGGTACGTGCTCCCCCTTCACAGCTTCAAGATTTTCATGTTTACTATGCCTTAGCCTCTCTTCATAAACCTTACACCTATCGTGAGGCTAGCATTGACCCCCCTTTGGTAAAAAGTAATGCAACAAGAACTAGATGCCCTCTCTTCCACCCATACCTGGAATCTGGTGGATTTACCTGCTAGCAAGACTGTTGTTGGATGCAAGTGGATTTACAAGATTAAGACTCGGCTTGTAGCAAAAGGGTTCACTCGGGAGTACGGTATTGACTACGAGGAGACCTTTGCTCCCGTTGCTCATCTCACCTCTGCTCGATCTTTACTTACCGTTGCATCAGTTCGTCGATGGCAGTTATTTCAAATGGATGTCAATAATGCTTTCTTGAATGGAGATCTTACAGAAGAAGTGTACATGAAACCTCCTCCCGGTTATGATCATCCTCTGTACAAAGTTTGTCGACTTAGACGAGATTTTTATGGTCTCAAGTAGGCACCTCGAGCTTGGTTCTCTAAGTTTAATGCTGTTATTTCTCAACAGGGCTTCACTCCTAGCCACTATGACTCTGCTCTCTTTATTCGAAAGACATCTTCGGGTATTATTTTACTCCTTCTTTACGTTGATGACATGATCATTACAGGAGACGATATTGCAGGTGTTCGTAGTCTTCAACAGTTTCTGAGTCAGAACTTCGAGATGAAAGATCTCGGTACCTTGAGCTATTTTCTTGGTCTTGAGGTTGCTATTGGTTCTGATGGGTACTATCTCTCTCAAGCCAAATATGCTTCAGAACTCCTCTCGAGAACTGGTCTCACAGATAGCAAGACGGTTACTAGTCCTCTTGAGCCCAATGGTAAGCTTCTTGCCATTGATGGTGAACTACTGCTTGATCCGACACTCTATCGTCAGCTGGTTGGTAGTCTCATTTATCTCACTGTCACCCGTCCTGACATTGCTTACTCAGTACATCTTGTTAGTCTATTCATGAGTGCTCCTCACTCAGTTCACTATGCGGTTGTTCTTCAGATTTTGTGATATGTCAAAGGGACCTTGTTCCATGGACTTTACTTCTCCTCATCCACATCACTTGATTTACGGGCCTATGTTGATGCTGATTGGGTAGGTGATCCCATTGATCGTCACTCTACCACAGGCTATTGTTTTCTCCTAGGTTCTTCCCTTATCTCCTGGAAGAGTAAGAAACAATCTGTTGTTGCTCGTTCGACCACCGAAGCAGAATATCGAGCCTTAGCTGACACTACTTCTGAGTTAGTCTGGCTTCGATGGCTACTCTCTGATATGGGTGCTCCACAGCTTACAAGCACTCCTCTTTACTGTGACAACGAGAGTGCCATACGGATTGCCCGCAATGATGTGTTTCATGAGCGCACCAAACATATAGAGATCGATTGTCACTTTGTTCGCCATCATCTTCGTTGCGACACTTTACAATTACGATCAATCTCCTCCGCTAACCAACTTGCTGATGTGTTCACCAAATCTCATCCTCCTAGACGCTTACGTGATCTCATTTCCAAACTCCAGCTGGCTGTTTTCATGCCGCCTCGAGTTTGAGGGGGATGTTGAATATATTATATTTATGATAGAATATATTATGTTTATGTCAGAATATTATGTATTCAATTTTATCAACTTTCTTGATTCTTTATAATTAGCAGATTCTTCTCCCTATAATTAGTTAGTTATCGTATTTAGGTTAGGGCTGGCAATTCGTGTTCGCGGACCGTGTTCGGGCCGATACGATTACGGCACGACACGATTATAGTGAGCACGAACACGACACGATTAATAAATGTGTCAGAAACCCAAATACGAACATGAAACGTTAATAACACGGTTAACACGACATGACACGCGAACACGATTACTAAACGTGCCGTGACAGGCCGACACGAAAAAAATACGTTTATGACCCGTCAAAATAATATTGTTCAAGAAATTTTAAAACAGCACAATTGGTAGGGAAAAATGATGAAATTAAAAATATTGTTTCATTATTGTTATATACGGCATAGTTAAAACAGAGCCATTCATTTTCTTTATCAATCTATAATTCATATTTGTGGTATCCATTCCAACTAAGAGTTTCATGTTTCATGAAAATATATTTAAATGTAAGTTCTATTATCATCACCTTCTTTTACATCTCCCAAGTGAGACCAATACAAAATGTATGCAAGTAACACAAATCTTAACCCCAACTACAAGAATTCAGTTGCATTAGTAGTTGCACAAACTATTCCATAGACAAAACTATTATAACCGCTTAAATAGAGACATTTTTCCATCATCCATTCACAGAAGAAAACTACAAATCAGTCAATAACAACCAAAATCAGAATTTCCCAAAAAGAAAATGACTTTCTGGGCGACCAAACACAAGGTCAAGAAAAAGTGCATACCTTAAGCAAGCCCAAGACCTTGGAGACCTTCTCGCCGATCAACCTTTTCTTCCAGTTGCTTTAACCTATTCATGGAAAAAGAAAACATTTTATTAATGAAATGAAATTTATAGCTTAGGCATGCCACAAGGAAATTCTTGTTACCTTCCATTGCATTTGAGGTGTTGAGGTTGTGAGAATTTTGAGATGAACCAGTAGTGGGCTCATTGATATCCAAACTAAAAACATCTTCAGTAATTTCATCCATAGCTTCACGAATCAATTTGTTATTTTCTACACAAAATAGATAACTTATATGGTTAAGACTTAAGATAACATAAGCTAAGACAATAAATAAACAAAAAAAAAAGCAAATATACCTTTATCTCCAAATAGCCAATCCCTAGTACACACCAATGTCTCAACTACGGTAGGTTTAAGTGAACTCCTATATTGATCCAATACTCATCCTCCAACACTAAAGGCAGATTCATATGCTACAGTAGATATTGGGATACTTAGGATATCACGAGCCATGTAAGAAAGCTCCGGATAGCGAAACTGATTTCCTTTCCAAAATTCAAGAACATCCAACTCAACACTCCCTTGTACTCTTGGCTCATCCAAATAAACTTCTAACTCTGATTTATGCATAACAGTTTGCTCTTGGCTTTCAAAGTTGTTGAACTCCTATAACCACAAAAATATAAAACAAGATGAAAAAGACAAATAAAGAACAATTAGTATTCATCAATGAATGCTAAATTAACAAAATCAACATATAAATATTCATAAACATAGTTATATTCAATACTTTAGTTTGCCTCTGTAAAAACTTTTGTGCTGGGTTTTTAGCAATAAAAGTAGGAAGTGAAGTCACAACATTTATTGTAGAAACCTTACCCTTAGAGTATTCAGTAAACAACAACTCCAAATTTCTCTTAACTTCTAAAAATTGAGGTGACCCTTTCATTCCATAAACATTGCCATAAGCATAATCTACAAAATTCAACTTGTAACGAGGATCAAGCACTATCGCAATTGCCAATATCAAACTGAAATCTTTCCAATACTTCTCAAACTTGGTAAGCATTGCTTTTGCCATAGCAGAAAAATATGCATCTTCACTTGTCTCAGATTTCTTCAATAACAAATAACTTGTGTACACAATTAGAAAGTACAAGTTTGTAGTGGGGTATTTAACTCCCGAAAAAACACAAGTGATATTATAAAAAGGTTCCAAAAATTCACAAATTTTCTCGACCTTTTCCCATTCATATGGATCAGGACAGTCCTTGTAATTAGAATCACTCAATTCTAAATGACAAAATGCTCATCGATAATACAAGACACTGTCAAGCATGAGGAATGTTGAGTTCCATCTTGTAGGTATATCTTGCCTCAAACCTCTCTTAGAATCAAGACCCACAAGCTTTACACACTCTAAAAACTTCTTCTTTCTAATTTGGGACCCTCTTACATATTTCACACTCTCACGAATCTTTTTAACTACTGAATCACTATCTTTCAACCCCTCTTGCACTACAAGGTTCAAAACATGTGCACAACACAAATATGAAAAAAAGAACCATCAGAAATAAGTGCATTGTTTTCAATCAACTGATTCTTCAACAGATCAACAGACACATAATTAGCAGAGGCATTTTTCAAAGTAAGAGTGAAAACCTTGTATTCAATTCTCCACTCACACAATAATGCATAAAGCTTTTCAGACAATGCAATACCAGTATGTGGTGATGGCATGAAGTAAAAATTCAAAAGCCTCTTTTGCAATACCCAATCTTTATCAATAAAATGGGCAGTTAATGACAAATATCCATCTGTAACTATGGAAGTCCACAAATCAGATGTCAAACAAATTCTACCGTGGCTCAACTCCAACATAGATTTTATTCTTGCTTTTTCCCGAGAATACATTTTTTGGACATCTGCCTTTAAAGTATTTCTAGTTACCAAAGTTATCTCAGGATGCAAATATTGGTAAGTCGCCCTAATAGCTTCATATTCAACAAAGGAGAATGGAAGGTCATGCAAAATGATTGCTATTGTTATCAATTCACGAAAGTGTTCAGCATCAAACCTTTTTACACTCAACGCTAAAGTCCCTTTGTCTTGTGACATCAATAGTTGGCCCACGTCACGCGTGTCTCTACGTACACATGATTGCATGTGACGTCGCATGCTTCCAGTCCCATTCTTGCTATTAGCCATATACACCACACCACACTCCTTGTATTTAGCTTTTAGCTCCTGATCTGCACCCATTGGAAGCCTTTCAAACTGGTTCTAGACAACAGAAGTATGCTTCCTTTTACGTTTAGAAATGCTGGTCGAATTCTTGGAATTAGCTTCAGGCTCAACATCTGCCTCCAACTCCAGTGCAATAGGTGCATCACCAGTAGCAGCAGCAGATGCGGTAGTGCTGTCTGACTCTACATTTACTCCAACACCATCTTGCAAATCATCCATCTACAAATCGGATCAAATGCACAGGAGAAAAGAAAAAAGTTTGAAGTAAAAGGAAAAAAAAAACAAACAGAAAGAAAAAGTTCTTGCTATTCACTTATCCTCAGCAAATCTCTTTGATAGCTCGAGTTCAAGTAAACTTTGAAGTTACAGAGATAAATATTGATGTTAATATTTTGAACAATGTCATACAGATTCATTTTTCAAGGAATATTAAATAAGTTCGTTTTCCCCTTTCATTTATGGAAACCATTTTATGGAAACATGTCCAAAGAGACAATGTCATACAGATTCATCATCCTTCATGTGTCAATTACTTTAAAAAGAAAAGAAGAAAGACAACCACTAGTAAATTAGGCTTAGGCTTTAAAAAAGCTAACCTGTTCTTGCTTTTTTTTTTTCCCTCTCTCACTCTTTTTTTCCCTCTTCACATTTTTAAGGATAAAGACTTTCACTTGGAAAGTGATAGCCCATGCCTAAAGATATTCATAGTCAGCACCACTGTCATTATGCAAAGGAAAAAAAAGGTAGTGGCCAAGGCGCCAAGCCAACACTACATTCCAAGACACCTACGAAATCTTCTGGGTTTGTCCTTGCTGGTGGGACAAGCAAATTATTTCATATATGATGAATTACGGCAAATTTACATTTTTACAAGAAACGAAATACGCAAAATATCATATTGCAATGAATTACACTTAAAAAAATAAAAAAAAAAACAACTCAAGAAGTAATTATTCCTAATAATGTTATATTTTAATAATTTTTTTGAATATACCTTTTACCTTTTATGAGAAAACTTTACAAAAGAGACATAACAGGACTTTCGTTTTTACCATAATAATATGGAAACTAGTTTCATTTTTTTTTTTCAAAATTTCATAACCACTCCACCTTTTGAGTTCGAATATTAATGTATGTATTATCATTTGAGTGATGAAATAAGATTTTCATCTCAACTTTAGTCCCATATTTGCGTTGAGTGAGTCAAATTATTTGCACCACCACACATGTGTCTCACACCTATGCAGGCAATTCATGTGGGGTTTGAATCTTTGATGCACACCAACCAAATCAAGATTTTAAGAAATTCCGTGGGATTTTTGACTTGACATAAATGAAAGGGACTATTAAACCAGAAGAAACTAACTTATTTAAACATGTCCAAAGAGACTATTAAACATACAGAAGAAACCAGTTTAAACATGTCTAAAGAGACTATTAAAAACTAAATTCTTTCAAATAAGTTCGTTTTCCCCTTTCATTTATGGACTAATAATAAATACCAAATTACTACTCATAAATTTCCACCATATATCAATGAAGCTTTCCCCTTTCTCCTCATCTTTTCTTCAAAGTTTTGGTTGGATTCTCCGGAATAACAAAAAAGTCAAACATGAAAAGATCATTTGAATGAAAGTGGAGAACATACGGGAGAAATGTAGAGTTTGCGACCACTTCCGGTGTTGGAGACTCTGAGAAAAAATCGAGCAAACTAGCCAAGTCTAACTACAAAGTCAAGAACAACTTTCAAATACAGTGAAGAACAACTTTCAAATACAGTCGAAGAATCAAAACAAAAAAAAAAGAGAAAATGAAAAGTCCTGAGGGCTTTATCAGTCAATGAAAAAATTGAAAGAAAAAATGAAAAAGTCCTGAATGCGAAGAAGAAGGAGGAGTACGTACATGGAGATGGAGATGGAGATGGAGAAAAACTCGTCCCGTCCGCCCCCCAAAATCAAAATCCAAATGGTTGTTCGCCCCCCAAAATCAATCTCAATGGTGAAAGGCTGAACCTGAAACGGCAGGTGAGGAGTGAGGACTGAGGCCGTAAGGACTGAGGTAGTGGCCGGTGAGGACTGAGGCGGACTGAGGTAGTGAGGACTGAGAACTGAGGCAGGTGAGGCGGGTGAGATTTGAGAGACCGTGAGATGAGACTCGAGAGAATGAGAGAGAGAACTGAGGCATTGTGTCGGCCCGATAATGACACGTTTAATTAAACGGGTTAAACGTGTTAAACGGGTTGGCACGAATCCATCCCATTTATTTTCGTGTTATTCGTGTCAGCCCGTTAACGACCTAATTAATAATCGTGCGGTCTAAATTTATTTATCTCGTGTCATTTTCGTGTCGCTTCATCGTGTCGTGTCTGAAATTGTCAGCCCTAATTTAGGTATCCCCTTGTAACTATAAAAGAGAGCTCTCCTACAATTGAAATACATAAAACATTTCACATATTTCTTGTCCTCCTTTATTTTCAACGAACACAATCAAGCCTAACGAACACGTTTAAACAGCAAAATGCAATCTTAACAAAAAGGGTACTTTTCAATTTCAAATGCCAAAAGGAAAAAAAAAAATTTACAGTCCTAAAGTGAGGACCTGAGAAAGAGTTTGCCTGATTTTGATGGATTTAATGGAGTGGAGGATGTATCCAAGCCAATATCCCATCCCTCTCTCTCCCCCCGGCGTCCACAGCTGTCTTCCGCCGTCGTCCTCCGCCGCCGCGGCATTTCGGCGTCCGCCGTCGCGGTACTCCGGCGTCCACCGTCGCTTCCGCTGATCGTCGTTAGTAATCCGTTCCTTATATTTAGGTATTAAGTTTAACTGTCTTTTTCTCTCTCTGAAATTCATCTTGGATTCGAGTTCTTCTTTGGGTACTCTTTTAAGTTTGTTGTTTGATTTCAAGAAAAGGGTATTGATCAAATTTTTGAATCAGTTTATGTAAATTTTTGTAACCTCTGAATCCTTTTTAATGTTTTTTTTTTTTTCTCGTGTATTGCTGCTAGATTTTCAGTTTAGTGTTCTGAAGGTGGTAGATTTCTCCTTGCCATTTTATTTTGCAATAGTTCGATTCAGGGGTGTTGTACTACTTGATGAAGGAATTTGGTTCCACTCTGAGTGATCTTTAGGATTTCCTTTTCTAAAATCCAATCAATCCCAAAATATGTGCTTATGTACTGCTTTAGAGGTTCATTAGGATTTCGTTTCAATTTTTTTGAGTCTTCTTTTCTGTTCTTGTAAGTATGTATGATTGATGCTCTAACTATTTGTAAGGATGTTCTTTTCTGTTCTTGTAAGTACTGATTCGCGAAAGAATTAAGGCTTTGATTTGTAAGGATGTTCATATGTTAATTAAATTAAAGGATTCTCCTGTTGTGCAACTCTGAATTCTTAATACATCTCAATATATTTATTCATTCTTTACATTATCGATGACTAGTCTGTCTGCAAATCTACATTTTCTTTCAATTGTTTGATTACTTCCTTGGTGGGTGGTATAGTTGTCATATGCATATGGTTACCATGAGCTCTGCAAGCAGCTCTTTAGTATTTTCCCCGAGAACAAGAGAGTAATTTATTCTTAGTCTATATTTGCTTTTATTTACTTTGCTTTTATTATTTTGTAGAATTAATGGAGTCATCAAGTATTAATGAGGAAGTAGATTTTATGCCGAGTGCTTCTAATCGTGGGGCTGAGAGTACTTATCAAGTGGAAGTGGAAGATATAGTTGAGGAAGGAAGAAAAAGGAACTTGCAATCTGTTGTATAGGATCATTATGATATAAAAAAGATTAATGGGAAAGAGAAAGCAATTTGTAAGCATTGTGAGGAGAAAGTAAAAATGGTACAAGCCATTTGCATAAACATATGAGTGGATGTCCTAAGTTGAAAGGAGGCACAAATAAAAAAGACAAAAGAGAAGTGGTGGGACTCCTTCAATCGGCGGATACAATTTTGATCCGGAGTTGCTTAGAGAGAAAATAGCCCATATGATTATTTTGCATGAGTATCCTTTGAGTCGGAGCATGTTGGTTTTATTGAAATGATGAGCGTTGCATGCCCCATGTTTAAGATGATGTCAAGAAACACCATCAGAAGCAATACATTTAAGATTTATAAGGAAAAGAAAGACAATGCAATGCAGCTAATGGAGAAAAACTCCCAAGTAAAATTATTGTTACAACAGATATGTGGACAGCTAGCAACCAGGAGAGGGTACATGACTGTGACGGGGCACTTTATTGATGAATCTTGGGTTTTAACATCCCAGATTTTGAGTTTTCTATATCTTCCATCGCCACGTGATGCTCCGACATTAACTAATGCATTGATTGATTGTTTGATGGACTGGAATGTAGACCACAAATTGTCTACATTGACAGTAGATAATTGTACTACAAATGATGCTATGATTCCGCTTGTAAAGGAGAAGTTGTCTGGTGGTTCGCTACTTTTGGATGGGAAGTTATTTCATATGCGTTGTTGTGCGCATATTTTGAATCTTATTGTGAAGGATGGTTTAGCTATCTATAATGTTGGCACGTTTCTTACTGGTCTGGGACACCAAAAAGAATGGAAACACTTGAGGGGTTGCTCGTCAATTGAAGATACATAGGCTTAGTTTGGTAGTGCGGTGGATTTTAGAAAAATTACTTTTAGCTGTGCTGAAGGAAGAAACAGTTGTTACAAGAAGCAGCTGAGTGTAGGTAAACTATAATTATAATAACTGTGTTGGTTTTAAAATCAGTGTAATAGTGTTTGGTAAATTTTAAAGTTGAATTGTTGTAGGTATGTAAAATGACCAAAATAGACATGATATGAAACTTAAATATATATAATTATTTTTGGAATTTAGAAATACTTGTTTAACTTAAAAAAAAAACATAATGCTATGATTTCGAGTTGTTTAATAATAAATTTATGATAATTAATTCTTTTTTTTTTTTCATTTCTTCATTTACAATATAATTACAACTAAAATGAGCATTAGTGAGTAATCAATTTGTTGAACAAAAATGTACATTCTATAAACAAGTTAAAAGCTAGATCGTCAAATGACCAAGTTACATAAAAAAAGTTGGGCCTTGATGCCTTGTATGTGGTCTTCAGCTTTCTTATTGGTGGCCTGACCTTCTTGTACACCAATGGAAACTTATCTTCGAGTTGTGAAATTATTTTGAGCTCTCTCTCTTGCAAAGCTTGGCAAGGACAGTTGTAGTCTTGATAACGCAACTAAATACCATAATTATCAATTTTGGTGGGGTTCTTCTCATAAATTTGTAAGAAAAAATGATAAATTTGTTGAGAAATTTCATGCCAAGAAACGGATTAAGCCAAATGATAATTAATTATAGGATCACAAATAAAGAACATTTCAAACATATTGATATCTATACACACACGTACATATTGATATCCTTACACACACGTAAATGAATAAATTCACACATTGATATCCATATACAAGAAAAAAGAACAAATGAAAGGAATAGTTCTTGCAAACATATATATCCATACACACACCACATATATGCCTACAAACATATATATCCATCTTCTTTGTCGTTGTTTTCTAAAGGAAAATGTTTAATATTGCACACTTCTTTATCTATGTGATAATATATTAGGTCATAAAAAGTTATAGTAAATGTAACTTGGAACATTTGAGTTATAGTTTCCTTGGATGTTAGAGCTTAGAGCTTAGAACTATTTTATTGATTTTGGCATATGATAAGGATGTTTACATCCACACTCCGTAAGTTTCACACAAAGGAATCCATAAACTAAAATTGTGTTACAGAAATTTATCCATCTTTTTCAAAGCAGCCTTGCTAATTCCCTCTTTTTCAGCTGCTGCTCCAAACAAGTGGATTGTCCTCATAGCTTCATCTTTACTCATAAACCACATCAAGTCCTCTAGGAATATACATCTATCACAACATGTATATATAATATTGACATATCTTGCAGAAAGGAAAATTGGAATTGTACAGAAGAAAAAGGTTTCAATCTTAGGGTTAAAACTTTTTTGTACAAGGATCATTTGACACAGAGAAAAAAGAAATGCTTCAAACCAAATTGCATATAATTTTTAAACGGAAGAAGGGCATAGTAACATACTCGAACCGCGGCTTGGCTACTCTGGAGAAAATCTTCTTGGCAGCTTCTTTTGCCTGGCATATAGTTTTAATCTGCAAAGAAGACTCATCGTCCGTATCCAAATTGAGTATTCGCTCATCCAGAGTCGTCAAGGATCCATTCCCGATGGTACGCATCATTCTTTTCATACTCCAAGCAGATATATTTTTCGGGTTTAGCTTATGCAAGTACTCAATTGGAATTTTCTTGTCATGCCTCTCAGAAGCGTGTCTCGAAAATGTAGGACTCCTATTAAACGATGGGAATGGACAATCATTCCTTGGAAGAAGAGTTGCCCTGAGCTCCCTAGGCATGGCTGCCCCAGCACTCTGAAACTCCCTAGCCTCATGTCTTTCCAAGGATATCGGACGACCAGAAAGCGTCTCGATCACGTACTGATTGAACAAAGCCTCCTGAATTCTTTCAAAGAAGTTGTTGACATGGAAAGACAAAGCAAGGACCTTAACAAGAAGTGTTTTCAGAAGGCAAACCAAAGTGCCCACCAGAAAACAGACCAAGATCTTGGTCACATAAGGCAGGATCTAGATCTAGAACGATCTCGGCTTGGATGGTGAAGTGGTGGCCGTGAAAGTGAAGGGGTCAAAAGCATGGTGGATTCCGATTGCAAGAAATTGGGGACAGAACTATCTCAACCTAAAAAATTGATTTGTCTACTTTGGGGGTAAAGGCAACAAGAGAGGGCCCATAAATGCACTTGATACCTGTTTTAACCCCATCATTCGAACTTGAAGGATTTCCCCAGCCAATCGACCAAATCGACATTCAGAGAAAAAAAATCCCTTGACCAAATTGACATTCAGAGAAAAAAAATCCCTTGACCAAATCAACATTCAGAGAAAAAAAATCCCTTGACCAAATCAACATTCAGAGGATAAACAAGTTTACGGTTTACAGAGTAGAGAAATAAAATTTTGTACAAAAAATTCATCAAGCCAGAAACCAAATCAACATTCAAAAAAAAAAGCTCAATCAAGTACCTACAGATGCAGAGATGGTGAGCTCCAACCAGATCCGCTCTCAGCCAGCTACGAAATCTAGAAACCCTAACACGAGCAAACCACCAACACCGAGAGAACAGAAAGAGATGAGAGACTCCGCAGCCGACAATCGCAGGAGATCCTAGCCGGAAATGAAGAGAGGGGGTCCGAGAGAGAGAACAAAGATAAACGGAGGGAGCTGAGAGAGCAAGGCTGAGGCTGAGAGAACTTTGGCTGAGAGAGTTCGATTTTAGAGAGGAGAGATGGCGAATGAGCAGAAAGAAATGAGGGGCTGAGAATTTTTTTGATTCAGGAGTATTTTGGGGATAACACAAATTTCATTAATGGCTCAGGTAGATTCCCACACAATCTACGATCAAAAGCAGCAAGTGAGCTGCTTTTGATTTCAGCCTAAAATTACTTTTAGATTCTCTAAAAATCAGTTTTTAAAGTGTTTACCAAACACATCAAACAGTTTTAGCTGAATAAAAAACTGATTTTAACCTCCCAAAATCTCTACCAAACTCAACTATAGTACAGAGAAGATTGCCCTCGATTGTCTGACTAGATGAAATTCAACCTACACGATGCTTAGTGTTGCAATTATATACAAAGATTGTTTTCCGTGACTAAAACAATGCGATTCTCACTATAAGTCTGTGCCTTCAGAGGATGACTGGACCTTGGCAGCGGATTTATGCGAGAAGTTGCACTTGTTTTATCAAGTGGCTGAGCTGTTTTCAGGAACAAAGTACCCCACAGCTAATCTCTTCTTTCCGAAGATTTGTGAGATGAAAATGTCAATTCGGAATTGGTTGGCTTCAAATGATCCTTATGTCAAGGACATGGCTAGTGCAATGACGGATAAATTTGAGAAGTATTGGAATGAAATTCACGGAGTGATGACTGTTTGGATCCGAGATTCAAGAATTGCTAAATCAGTCATTACAAATCGCTTATGAAACTAGGATAGGAATCAAATCCAACAAACATTTGAAGCACTAGAGAAAACAAAAACAGCTAGTATATGGGCTACAAAATTCCCAAAACAAGAAATGTAACTAACAGAACCACAAGAAGAAACTAGAGAAATTTGACGAAGGATATCACCAATCACATTTGAGTCGGATGATCGCAGATTTAGCTTACTAACAGCGTGCATCACATTCAAGCTTACTAACAGCGTGCATCAGATTCACTGCATCAGTCTCCACAACCTAATTGAGAAAGCCATTTTCCACTCATTATTGAATTGAAAATTTTAATTATCAGTTTTTCAAGGACTGAAATGAATCCTTAATAAAAATAAATAAATAAATAAATAAAGGCAACCCGGTCATGTTGGGGCACTTTGACCCACTCGGTTTTTATAAACTGGAGTGGGGCGGCAAAAACTCGCCCCGATATTTGCATCCCTAGTTCCATTTCTCAGTGAAAGCAAATTGATGGCATTTTGGTGAAGGAATTGTCGTTGGAAATTTGCAAGTTAGTAACAAAATTTTTGTGTTGTGTGGTCAATGGTGGCCATGCCAGTGCAAAATATGACTTTTGAATTTGACTTGAGAAAAGTTGACTTGTCAACTATGTTATATGTCAAAACGTGGCACTTCAAATGCTTTTAGGACATGTGGATTTTGGTGGGCCCAAGAAAAATAAGTAACAAATATGTTGTGTTCAAAATCCTCGCTTTATTATCAGACTTCTTAAGGGAAAACCCATCAAACCCCAACTCACTTTTTCAAGCAACAATCAATGTTAGGATACCAGTCCTAACATCAACTACTAAAGAGATGGGTCCCATTGCATGATCCCATATATATAGAGCCCACATTTTATTAATTGTGATGTTGAATATTGATGCGCATTTTTCTTTTTGAAGTCATGTTTGCAAAAATACTTGAGCTTGGCACGCAAGAAACAAAAGGCGGCCTCCGCATGTGGACCCTCCTGTAGCAAAAGGTACTATTATATGCTATAGGTTAGATACAACAATCTTCCATAAACACATTTAGAATGTATTTCACTAGTTCAAGAATGAAGGCTTTACTTCCAGTAGTAGTTGCCACAAGAAAGCTGAAAAAAATATTAGATGGTATAAATGGTACATTCATAGATTGAACTTTGGGGGCAAAACAAGTAGAAAGTCAATTGCCACCATTACACTGATCCCCTGTAATGTTTCTCAGTATTTGTCTGGTATAAAAAACATCTTTCATGTTTCCAACAGAAAATGAGAATGTCTTTATGGTTGGAACTTCGAACCAATCTCTGTAAACTTGAAAACTAGTATTTCTAGTCCTTTGAGGTAAGAACCAGCAATCCCAATGCTCCAATAACTATATACTGCAATCGGATTAACAAATATAGTCAATAGAAAATAAAAGAAGCTCCGGCCTTGCTTCGAGGAAAAAAAATAAGTTTCACCAATGGGGATGAAAGAAAACAAAAGAGAAAAAAACATTTTTTTTAAAAAAAATATGTGAATCTTCTCAAGTTTCAGTGAAAACTAACCTTGATTATTGGCTTCTCAGTCATGATTATTGTCAGCCAGCCAACATAAGGCAAGAACCTGCACAGTGAGAACAGATGATGTCATGAAAAATTTGAGTCGTGGGAAAGAAAATATCGACTTCTAGAAATTAGAGACAACTAATTGACCTTTGTTCACATATACAATCTTAATCAGTACTAACGTATCAATGTTACTAGGCTTACCCAACAGCTCTTCCCATGATATGTTGGCGTTCCAACCATTTTTGGCCCGGAGCATACAACATCCTATCATCCACGTCGTTATTGTCTCCTGGAAAAATTAGCAAACATGAAACAAGGATTATATAAGTATTGGTTAAGCGATAAGTTTCTAATCACTAAAACAAGGAAAGTCTAAGAATTTATATATGAACTCCACAACCGTGTTGTCGGTTAGTTTTTATTTCCATCCCGAATGACTGTATATTTCAAGATTGTCCCTTTATCTTTTTCCACTAAAATAACATCCCAAAGAGAAAAACGATTACATAGAGATTAGTACCTTTTGTGAGGACATAAACTTCTCCGCTATCCTCTCGCTCATGAACCTACCAAAGAGGATCAGAAAAGCACTGGTCAGTCGTCTAAACAAAGGAAAACAAGCAAAAAATCATGTGGTAGGCAGGAGTAACAAGTTCTTTACTTGAAGACACAAATCAATAGCAAAAAATAATAATAATAAAAAAGTACTTTAATTTTAAGAGTTATTTTTCTTTTCTGAAGATTTTATTACCAATCTCAGCTCAACAGTGGAAAGAAAGTGGTATATTTAAATGGGATCCTCTTTAGCTTACTCCACTTTATTAACTAAAAACTAGCACATGTATAAATATCTACAGTACACGGGAAAAGGCATCATCCACGACATAAAAAACATCCAGAGAAGTGGTAGACTGTCTATACAGAACAGAAATTGATATTGCAAGGTGAAGACCCTTAGAATTGTTACCTTGATTACTCGATGAACGATTGAAATAGGATGTCCCTGGACAAGATATGAAAGGTAGATCAGGAAGCAGGAAAAAAAAGAAAAGGAAGAAAAGGCCCCGGCTTATAGCCCAAAGAAATGAGAAGTGTTCAAAAGAAAGAAAGTCATCCAAGTAAGTCAAACAAAAGAATCTTGTAACAATTCGGAGGGGGAAAAAAAGGCTGGAGAGAAACAAACAAGTTAATGGATGTTTACTATAAAGAAGAACTTACTTCCACATTGAACACAATAATTTCTCCTGCACGTATGGGGTCCTCGCTCATACGCAAGAAAAGAATGTCACCCTGCAAAGGAATTAAAGTGCCACGTACACAAACCAAATTGTGAAGAGAAAACAGAAAGATCAAAGGTATTTTGTCCACATCACGGTGAGCTGCGAAACGAGAAACAAATTGAAAATGCAAATAGATGCGAATCAATAAGGTGCTTTAATCTTCATCATCACAAGAATTGAAGGGAAAAGAAAGCGCTTTCCAATGTAGTACGATAGTTAATTTCTTTAATTGAAAGTGTTAAAAACTACACAGAATGTTTAGCTCCAACCAATACTGCAAACAAAAGACTTCTATCTCCAGTTATGTTCTCAAATCCATTACCATATAAAGTTCATTCAAGAAACTTCAAACTTGTAGATAGGATCCCTCTCTTGTTTTAGCTTGACAAAAAATTTCTTATAGATTATTCCAAAATCCAATTTTTTGACATTTTGATCTCACTATCAACTAAACCGAAAGCAATTCTACAATGTGGGACCCAAGAGAAAAGAAAAGAACTTCCGCCTACACCATAACTCGGATCCTAAAAAATGTCAAGCATTTGAGCACAACAAACAAAAACCAAAAACAAAAAACAAAAAAACAAGTCGTTTGACAAGAAATCAACAGACAAATTCAACAAATATCCTAAGTGAAACTGAAAATGTAATAAATCTAAAACTCCAACAGCCAGGAATTTGATAAACCAATCCTCAAATCCCAGAAAATCCCAGAAAAGGGATTTCACAAAAAACCAAGTTGATTCAATACTCACCCTTGCAAAGCCAGGTTCCATACTCTCAGAGAGCACAACCACAACAGGCGATTCACTGCCAGTTATACACATTAACCCTTTCCATATCACCAATGCCGACGACACAATCAAGCCTTAAAAAAAAAGATTCAAAAAAATCCAGTCTTAGCAAAAGGGCATTTTCAATTTCATAATTCATAGTTACATAGAGAAAAGAAGAAAGTTTGCCCAACTCAAAAAAAAAAAAAAAAGAAAGAAAGAAAACAAAGAACCAAACGCAAAAGAAATGTAGTTTGGGATTTGACAGACCAAGAATGACGATCTGGGAGAGAGTTTGTCGGATTTGGATGGACTTAATGGAGTCTAAAGTCTCTCCGAACCAACCCATTTTTCGGTTGAGCGAATTGGTGACAATTTCGGTGAAGAAATCGTCGTTGGAATTTTGTTGCTGTGCAAAATGACTGTTCGGAGTTTTCACTCCCAACGGTTGGATTATTGGGTTCTTTATATTTGTTTATTTGTTTTTAATTAATGAAAATGATAATTGTGAAGTTGTGCGCAAAGTTAAACGTAGCATTTCGAATGCTTTTAGGACATGTGGATTTTGGGTCCAATTAGTAATAGAATTTTATTTTTCCTTAAAAGGCATATTTCGTGAAATAAAAGTTCATTTATTTCCCTTAAGGAAAAAAAAAAAGAATTTATATTGGAATTTCTTGAGACTTCGTTTAGTAGGAGGAATGATAGAGAGTGTTAAAGAGATGAGAATGTAAAGGATATAAAGAATTATAATAATTATTTATGTTATTTGGTACGAGAGTATGAGTTGAAAAGATAGAAGATAAATTTTTATTTAATTATTATATTATCTATTTTACTATTTGTTACTTTTGAAAAGTAAAAAAGTCATTTTGTTTTAATTTTGAGTGAATTAATTGAATCATTCTATCAATGGAATGATTCAAAATGGTAAACTTGGAGAGAGATACTCTCCCTCTATCTCCTAGTTCTCTCTTTTTTTCCTTCTTACCAAACAAGAGATTCACCATCTTTACACCATTCTCTCTCAGTTCATCTCTCCCTCCCTCCTATCAAACATACTCTAATGAAAAGTGGAAGGAAAGAAAATGTTGAAGGAATTTTAGGATGGAAATTGATAAGTTAGCTTGTTTGGTAGAAAGGAAATTGGGAAGGAAAAGAAAATTGAATAGAAATTTCTTTTAGTAGGTCCTACTATATTCACTCTCTCTAAAAATGGACGAATTTTATGAATGAAAATATAAATAACTACACAAATGAAGTCAAATTATTGAATTGTCCTCATTTTTCATCTAAAATTTTGCCATAAAGAAAAGATAAATAGAACTCTCTCTCTCCATTTAGCTCACTTTTCACGGACAGAAAAACTTCTCATTGTTTGTAAGTTCTATTGTTGAGGATTCTGGTCTCAATTTACTTCAATTTTAAAATTAATTTTGTGGATGAATATCTCACTCCCTTATTATTTCTTGTAAATTTTCTCTTGGTCTTTCGTAGGTAATCTGACTTTTTTTTTGCTTGACTGTAAATAATCTAACTGGGTTAAATTGATTCATGCACTTTTGCAAAGGCATAGATTTTTAATCGTATCTTTGGATGGGTCTTTTGTATCAATATATAATTTCTAATAGTTGATCAATCCAATTTTTGTAAAGGTCAAAAAGATTCGGGGGAATCAGATGGAAATGGAGTTTTTGTACCCATGTTCAACTTTGAATTCTTTTTTCAATTGTATTTATTTAGTATTGTAAATATGGTTTTTTTTTTTTTTTTTACAATTTACTAGTCCAAAATTTGTTTTTGCTTGTGTAATATCAACATCGTATGTTATTTGAGAAGTTCTGGTTTTTTTTAAGGACTAAATTGGCTAAATGGTAATTTATGAAGCTCTTTAATGGATTCTAATGCTATGCGCTTTTGAATTGAATATGAATATCTTCTATTTATTACAAAGTATCTCCTTGTTTTCTTTTTCCCTAAATTGTTATCATGACGTCTTCATTCTAATTCAGGTTTATGGTAGTTGCCTATGTTCAATGGGATATGCAAAGAAATGGAGGCACACTGAGATCCAATATTATGATAAATTAAGTGAGTTTTTTTGCAAATGATAAAGCTAATGATGAGGTTGCTGCTAGTGCAAAAGAGAAAGTTTGACAATGGCAGAGGAAACTAGCTCCAACCAATCTGTTGGTGTTGAACAGTTTGATGAGGTAAATATTGATATTATTGAGTCCTTATCCCCACAGAATAATTCTCAAGTTATAAATGCATCCAAAGGTGTAAAAAGAAAAGCTTACATGATTGATTCACTTGACAAGCATATTGGAATGCTTCACTCTGACATGAGTAATGCGGCTGATGCAATTAGAGAGGGTAAGGCTATTGCTGAAAAAACACAACCACGTATCTATCAGAGAAAAAGTTTATGCTGAAGTAATGAACGTTGGAGTTCCTAATAATCTTCAATTGGAAGCTTTTCTACTTTTAATCAAAAGTGCATCACAAAAGCGAGCTTTCTTTACAGTTCCAAATCATCGTCGCTATGAGTAGATGATGTACAATAATGAAGACTGAAACCATATGGTTTAAAAGTTTAGTAGTTTATAACCCTTTTGGTAAATATATCTACATGGTACTTAGTTGATCATACATGCTTTTTGTTGATACTTGATAGCTGATGAATATTGGGAAATATATATGAAGATACAAACTAATACTTTGTGGAACTTTTTTGTAAATTTCTCTTACTTTACAATAGTGGATGCATAGTATGCTAGTCACTTTTTTGTTGTAGTTGAACCTTTAACAAGTTGTATAGGGGACAACTGTGGAGATGCTAGCATATATACTGTAGCTAGCTACTCTTTTGTTGTATTTAAACGTTAGAAAATTACTGATACATTAATGCTATATAAGTTGGACTATATTTTTGTTCCTTTATTTATGTATGTGTGTATATATACATAATATAGATGGAATATATGTGTAAGTTATATGAATTTTTTTAGTTAATTTGATGTTAAATACTATATTATTTATACTTTATTATAAAAGAATATTAATAAAAAATATTTGGTCAAAAAAGTAATTACACCAATAATAAATTTTTCATCTCTTTAATTTCACTTCCAATACCAAACAAGAGAAGATGGATTCATTTTCTTTCTTTCCTATTATTCCAAACAATTTAAGAGAAAATCAAAATCTTTTTTATCCTTCTAATTTTCTATGCATTATAATTTTCCTTTCCCTCCCATTTTCTTTCCTTCTTACCCAACAGAGTGTAAAAGCTAAAAGCCTACGATATGAAAATACAAAGTAGAACTTCATTGATGAAAAAATACAAAGTAGCTTGTATGCCTGCAATTGCTATTTTCAATTTTTAGAGTAATAACTCTGTTAGTCTTTAAATTTTATGACATTTTAGTTTTTAAATTTTTAATTTAGGCATATATAGTTCTTGAATTTTCATTTTTAATAATTTTGGTCCTTAACAATAAAATTTACGAATAATTTTTGAAATTTAAGCAAGACAATCAAATCAATATCGCATAATAATAGAAAATGTTATATAAATAGTTACATTATGTTGAAAATAGTATAGTTTTTAATAGGTTTAAATAGTAAAAGAGAGAAAAAAATTTTATAACGTAACTCTTTCTATAAAATAATAAATTAAAATACGATATCAAAAGCTGAAAGCCTACGATATCAAAATACGAAGTATCACTTCTTTGATGAAAAAATACGAAGTAGCTTGTATGCTTGCAATTGCTATTTTTAATTTTTAGAGTTAATAGCTCTGTTAGTCTCTAAATTTTTAGTTTAGGCATATATAGTCCTTGAATTTTCATTTTTAAACTTTACAAACGATTTTTAAAATTTAAGCTAGATAATCACATTAATATTGCATAATAATAGAAAATGTTACATGAATAGTTACATTATGTTGAAAATATTATAGTTTTTAATAGGTTTAAATAGTAAGAAAGAGAAAATTTTGTATATAACGTAACTCTTTCCGTAAAATATTAAATCAATTAACATATGTCTATCATTGTTAAATTTCAGAAATTGTTCATTAATTTTATTATCAAGGACTAGAAGTGTCAAAAAATAAAAGTTTAAGGATTAAATATGCTTAAATTAGATTAGCAAAAAAAAAAAAAAGGCTTAAATTAAAAGTTTAAAAATCAAAATGTCACTATGCTCAAAGTTTATGGACTAACAAAGCTATTAATTAGGGGTGCCAATTTGTGTTGGCGGGTCGTGTTCGTGTCGTGTTGACCCCCTCAGTTGACACGAATAGGTCTGACACGAACATGACCCGTTTATTAATCGTGTCGAAATACAAAACCCAAACACGCCCTGTATATTGGCGGGTTGACACTTCACGACATGAATAACCCGTTTATTAAACAGGTCATAAATGTGTCGTGTCAACCCGTTGATTATCTGTCAACCCGATTATACAATGGGTGATAAATGGGTCATGTTAACCTATTTCTGAACATATTTTTGAACCTGCTTATAAAATAGGCGATAAATGGGTCGTGTTAATCTATTTCTGAACCTATTTTTGAACTTGTTTATAAAATGGGTAATAAACAAGTTGTGTATTTGTGTTACCCAAATATGTCACGTTTAATAAACGGGTTATAGCGGGTCAATTTTGGGTTGGCAAGTCAACCTGAAAATGACACGTTATTTAATCGTGTTTCACGGGTTCGACCTAATTTTGACCCGTACCTATTCATGATAAACCCAAACCCGTTAATTTCGTGCGGGTTTCGAGTTGTGTCGTTGTGTCACTACCCGGATTGCCAGTCCTACTATTAATCTTACTTTTTAATATCTGATAAATCAAGTCTTTGGTGTTCTTTTCAATTCATTCTCATTTCCACATTTTTTTCTTTTTTGTTTTCTTAATTAAAGAATTTTCTTTCCTGATGAAGTCAATTTAGTTTTACTAGTTTCCTATTTGTAAAAATAACATAATTAAATTCATTTGGGAAACCTTTAGAAATACCCCTTAAAATGAAACCCTCTTTTATTTCTACCCCTTATAATTAACCCATATATTTCTACATTTTAGACTAAAACTAATCAAGAGATATAATTTTTCAAAATGAGTACTTTTAGTAAGTTAGGTACTTAAGGAGGTAGAATTTATAATTTTTTTCAATTCATTTTTACTCCACAATTTTAAAATAAGAACCCACTTAGGTGCTAAGACAATGAAAATGTGGAGATTTGGTTGTCCAAACTTTAAAAAGAAGACTTAAATCTCATAAAATGGAAGGTTTTTTTTTATTATTATTTTATTATTATTATTATTTATTGTGGTCTTTTATTTTCTCTTTATTAATTAAATACCAATTGTTTATTCTTGAGTAGAGATACAAATAATATTTTTTTTTTACCATTTTAAAGTGGTATTTCTGGTTTTTTTTCCCTTTTTTTGTGACTTTTTCCGGTAGGCTTCCTGACCAATGGTATCAGTTTCTAACTATTAGATCTGATAAAAATCATATTAGATTAAAAAAATATGCATGACATATAATTTTTGATACAAATTTGACGGTTAAGAAGTATAAAACTATCGTTAATTCATTTTTCTAGTCCTACTAAAAAAACCTTTTCTTTTTTTTTTTTTTTGAAAAAAGACCCACATACCGAAGATCAAGACTGAAATGGGCACAAAAAAAAAAAAAAAAAAAAAAAAAAAGAAGTTCAAACTGAGAAAGGAAAAAATAAACTTGAAAGAGAAAACGACATGCCTTTTAACGCTTGTGTCGTAATGACATATCACATGCGATCGCGATCGCAATGGTGACATGTTGATTCTTCCTTATTTGTTTACTATTAATATTATTTTTGTCATTGTTATTAGCTATCAATCATTTTTGGGTGTGTTTACTAATCGGGAATAAAGAGGATAGAAAATAAATTCTAAGAAAAAAGAAATTAAGGTCTACTATATTGAGTTTCAAAATTTCATTAAAGTGTTTACAAATTTATTTGGGAATTAAGTTACAGGGGAAATAAATTTCTACTATGTTGTTTGCTTACATAAAAATTAAAAGGAATAAAATATAATAAATGTACTTACAAAAAATACCCTTCTATTAAGTAAATAAGGGTAAATTTAGTAAATATGTTATTTTCTATTTATTAACAAAAGAAATTAAATTCCGTAGGTAGGAAGGAGGTGGGATATAAATTCCCCTTATTACAGAATTTAATTCTTTATTTGTAGATATGACTCATGTAATTAAATTACCAAATATAAAAGTAAACACATGAATCTAAAATCAAGAAAATTAATTTTCTGAAATAGGATTTCTGGTTAATAAATTGAATTTATTTGTTGTTTGCATTTCGTTGTCGTTTGTCTATATTGCCGTCGTTCAAGTAACATTAGCCTCGGCCCAAATTAAGAAAAAGGGCCTCCAGTGCTGAAAGCCCATATTATCTCCGACCCCCTTCCTCTATATAAATAGAACCCTCCGAACCTTCTGGCAAAGCTCTACCTTGCTTAAACCCTAAAATTTTACTCAACAAAAACCCTAGCCTCTCTTCTCCAGTCCTTCTTCGACGCCAACAATGGTACTTTTTCTCACTTTTCCTCACTTTCTCGCGGCCGAGAAAATCCTCGATTTGATTATTCATTTTCGCTTTCTCGTTTTGTTTTTGCAGCCAGGAGAGGAAGTTAACCCAAAGGCGTACCCTTTGGCCGATGCGCAGCTCACGATCACCATTCTCGACCTTGTCCAACAAGCCGCTAATTACAAGCAGCTCAAGAAAGGAGCCAATGAAGGTTTGATTTTGAACTTTTTTTTTTTTTTTTCAACATTTTTTGGTTGTTATTGATATTTTGAATTGTTTGGTGAATATTTTCAGTTTGTTTGGATTGCAGCGACTAAGACTCTTAATAGGGGCATCTCGGAGTTCGTTGTAATGGCGGCGGATACTGAACCGCGCGAGATCCTTCTACATCTTCCCCTGTTGGCTGAGGACAAGGTAAATCTTTGTTTTCTTTTACCATTTCTTTGGAATGTGAATTTATTTTAAAGTTTCTTTTTTGGGTCATTGTTAAAACTTATTATCATATATAAAGATCGACACAAATGATGAAAAAAGTAGTTTAACCACGCATTATGAACCGAAAACATAAGCTAAAAGTTGGGATAAAATGGACATTTCAGTTTTACATAATTTACATGAATTTCACACGTGGGCAAATTTCATGTTAAAAAAAAATTCAGCATTTGTGTTATTGCTCTGTTAGTACATCTGTTACTGGAACTTATGTTGTATTACCATGCTTGAGTTATGCTATGGATTCTGGAAACTAGTTTTCTGAAGTGTAACTCAGGAAATGTATTTAATGGTTACTGCAAAAACTATGCATTTCATAGCCGTTTACATAATGCTCTAATTACTAATTTTTTGGAACTTTCTAGAACGTCCCGTATGTTTTTGTCCCGTCGAAGCAAGCACTTGGCCGAGCATGCGGTGTCACAAGACCTGTCATTGCCTGTTCTGTGACAACAAATGAGGGAAGCCAATTGAAGTCTCAAATACATCAACTTAAGGTAATTTTCAATGTTGCCTTTCCAGTATTTCCTGTAGGCGATTTTTGTCCCATGTTGCCATTTTTACGGTATTCTTGTGTTGGATTCTGAGGTGCTTTACTGTAAAATGCAGGATGCCATTGAGAAGCTCCTGATCTAGACTGTTAAGACTACTATATTCAGTGTGATGGGCCTCTTCGATCATAGTAGTCTGCATCTCTTGAGGCTTTGACTGATGAACTTGTGCTTTTAGAAAGGGCTTTTTTTTTTTTTTTTTTTTCTCTGTTGAATTATGAAAATTTTTATTTGTGTGCAATGCAAGAAAGAATACTCAAAATATATATTTGCATTTGTCAAGATGAATGATGTTGATGTTATAAGCTTTATAAGCCCACTAGATTAATGTGATTTGTTCTCTTATGTTGTTTCTGTTTCAATATTGTTATCAAAACAAACTCTTTACGGATGAGCTGAATGTGAACTATGCTTACACTAAAATCAAGGCACTAGTTGGATATGAATCATGTAATTAATTTGCTTCAACTGTGTATATGCTTTGCGATTAAACTTGGCAAGTCTGTGTTTAGCTGTTAAAAACCGACACTAGTGTAAGTCGGCTGACAACCGATAACTAGTGCATCCAAGCCCTTGAAATTCAACTTGCCTATGGTAACCAAAGTCAGGGAATTATTGTTGTTGTCTTGCGGTTTGCAAATTTACTCGTACCGTGCTATTTTTCTAGGCACCGCAGAATTCTGCTGTCGACCCTTCAATAGTTGGCGAAATGTGTCATAAGCAAAGCCAACTTGCCTAAAGAAGAAAGAGCAGGGCAGTAAATGCGCAATCTGCGCCTGAACTTGTAGCTACGTGTCCATGAAGACATTTGTGGGCCAATCAGAGGAATTGCGCAAAACCGTAGGTCTCTTCTAGAGAGAGAATTTGGAATCAAAAAACAGAAAAAGGGAGCTTAGAGGGGCATAGTTTAGACTTTTATAAGTCTAGTTGGATTAGCCAAAACAAAGGGAAAAAAAATAATTCCAGCTGGCTCATAGCAAATGGAAAGGTCGCCTTAGCTTCATCGTTTAGATTTGCGCTCATTTGTCCTGCCTGTCCGTCAGTATCACTTTTAACGACATATTATTGGGGATATTTAGAGCCGTTCACTTCGCTGATTCGAGTTTGTAATTCGAGTTGAGATGTGATTTTATGTGAGAATTTTTTACTGTAGCAAAAAAATTAGATGTGATTGTTTGTGAGAGCTTTTTACTGTAGCAAAACTCGAATTCTAAACTCGAATTAGTGAAGTGAACGGTTATACCCTTCATTTTGAGTTTATAGAAAAAAAATGATTTTTTAAAGAATTGTTGACTCTTATGAAATTAATATTGCCCATTTTGTTTAAGTTGTTTAAGTTGATTATTTTATTTTAATAAAAAAAGTCAGTCATGATTAAGGAAGTCAATAAGAGAAATATATAGGGTAATTTTGAACTTTTAAAAAAAAAAAAATTGTAATATTATACCTTAGACATGCTCTTGTACCTTAAAATTTCAAATTTGTAGCTAAATTTGTACCTTTTATGGGTTAGCAATTGAACGCTAAATTGAACTGCAAGCTTAGGGATAAGCCTGTAATCAAATACTAATTGATAATTTTTCTCTTTGCATCTTCGCTTGAAAATGTTAACTTAAAGACTTTTCCGTCTTTTTAAAAATAACACCTCAAGAGAGTTTGGCTAAAGATTAATCCATAAGTTACAACAGAGGAAATTGGTAAATTCAATAATCAAAATTAGTTGTTCAACCATAAGGTACAACTTTAAGATGTGTAAAAGGGCATGCCATTTTTTTTTTTCCTTTTTTAAATGCTATTACAACTTTAACATTAGTTTAAAACGGCATGCCATTTTTTTTCCCCTTTTTTAAATGCTGTAGGTAAAGTTTTCAGTCCGGTACTAATAAAAACAAAAAAATCTAGCACGTGTTCAACAAGGCTTCGTTCACTTCACCGATTCGAGTTTTTAGTTTTAAGTTTCTACAGTAAAAAGCTCTCAGAAAATGTCACATCAAAATTTTCTGCTACAGTAAAAAGCTCTCAGAAAATGTCACATCTCAGCTCGAATCGAAAACTCGAATCCGCGAAGTGAACGAGGCATAAATGTGGAAATTTGTTTTTCCTAATAGATGACAGCTGGAGACATGCAGGATGGTGGTAGGTGGAAGCCTCTAATTTTTTCGGTGAGGGGCAGGAATGTAATACACTATGATTAAATTAATACCGAAACGTATATGTAGCGAATGAGATGTCCAACAGAAACGACAATGTAACATTCCCTGTTAAACATGTATCTTTTAAGTGAAATAAATGAACAATTGATGTAGTAGGATGTACATTCGTGAAATTTTTGTCTTTCATTTAATTGAAAATGCAATATTTATGTGGTTAGAGGGAATGTGACTAGAAATCATGTAGGTATGAGGATTTTAAAATTAGAATTATAATTTTAGTTTAAACCTTTGTTTATTTGTAAAATGTAAAAAATAGTTCTTGAAAATTAATATTTAGTTTGAAGAGTTCTGATTCGAGATTTGAATTCTGATGTGATATGTTAAATTAGAACCACCTCAAAAAATAAAACTACTTCATCTCTTAATTTTAGATGGTTCAAACTTCTAGTTCTGATTTCGGTTCCAGAATTATAGTTTGAATCTTAAATTCAAACCATAAATCATTAATCTAGTTCTAATACTAAAACTATTCTAATATGAACTCTCATATCAAAAGCAGTCTAAAAGTCATATACTAGATAAGATTATGATATGTGTCCAATTTACCCGGCCTTTTTTTTTTTAAAGAAATTTAGAAAATCTGGCTTCCTTGATCTGGTTTTCCCATAAAAAAAAAAAAGAAAATAGTAGAAAATAGGCCAATATAAAAAGCTTAAGAAAGTATATAGGCTAATTTTTAGTTATAGAAATTAATAGGCCATAAATTATCAAGTTATGGTTTATAACCAGATAAGTTATGGACAAATTTATCAAGTTATAGTTCATAGCCAGCCAAGTTATGGACAATTATGGACAATAACTTGTCAAGTTATAGTTCATAACCATATAAGTTATAGACGAAAACAGTAATTTAACTTATTTATTAATTTATGTAAACTAGTGGCCTATTAATTTTAATTCATCTCAAGTCTTAACCTATTTTTCTTTTTCTTCCAAAAAAAAAAAAATAAATAAAAAAAAGAAAGATTGGAAGGAGTAATGCATGTGGAGAAAGCATGGCTGAAGAAGACTATGAGCTGAGTGAGCAAGTTTAGTCAAAGATAGAAGAATCCAAAAGCCAAGTACAAAAAGAATGCTGATCAGAAAAGGCAGGTTCGAAAGTACTGAAGAAGGAAACTTTGGTGATTATTTATCTTCGGAAAGAAAGGTGTCCAGTTAGTTCTTATTCCAAACTAAGCAAAAAGAAGTTTGGCCAGTAAAAAAATGGTTAAGAAGATTGAAGTATCAATCATTTTATCGATTTGAGTTTTTAATTTTAAATTTTTACAGTTAAAAATTTTTAAAAAATATCACATTTAATTTTTTTACTACAGTTAAAATTTTTTAAAAAATATCATATTTCAATTCAAATCTAAAAGGGAGAGACTTAACAGTACTTAGGAATAAATTCCAAATTCAACATTAATGCAAATTATCTCTGCCATGAGTAGGAGAAAGCGGACCAAAAAGCCTATGACCATACTTGAGGGTTAGTTTTCCAAAGAGGAGGAATGATGCAAAAGAATTATTATTATTATTATTTGTAATGCTTTGAAAGTTCAGATTGCAGGAATAGGCCCGCAAATATTGAACTTACTACTCGTAGCTCAATCCAAACAAAATGCATGGAAACCTCTCTAATCAAATGTTGCAACACTTAGGCCTCATTCACTTTGCAGATTCGAGTTTTTAATTCGAGTTGAGATATGATATTTTCTGAAAATTTTTCACTGTAGCAGAAAAAATTAGATGTGACATTTTCTGAGAACCTTTTACTGTAGAAACCTAAAATTGAAAACTCGAATTGGTGAAATGAACAAGACCTTAATAACCTTATCAAACTTGAGGAGCCATGTCACGACTCAAAAAGAGGCTGTGATTATAAAGAATCGTGATTATGGAGATTTAATAGAAAATTTAAATTTAATTAATCGGGATTAATAAAAAAACTAAGAAAATAAATATTAAAATTTATTACTTTGAATTCTTTTATTTTAAAGTAATTATAAAACAATCTAAAATACATACAACTTCTCATAATGATACAATCTTGAGAGAGTGTCGACATATGTTTACATACACTAAATACAGTATGGCTCCAAATTTAAAATCATGAAATTTAACAAACCAAACCATCACGAATCTCGAATATTCAATCTACTGCTGTAAACATACTGCGCTTCAAATCAAGTTACTAACCCTAGAGGGGTGAAAAACATTTAAAACATGGGTGAGCAAATACCCATTAGGGGAAAAATAGGGATCACGATAATAAAACAAGTGAAGTGAAATGATGTAATACCTTGAAGAATTAAATGAAATTAATTAAGATAATTGAGATTATTAGTGTGCATAATCTGGATTAATTAATTAGATATTAATTAATAAATGTTTCTGATGAGTGAATTTAAATAATTTCAAGGTATTTAAATATTCTCAGTATTTACATTTGTATCCAGAAGTGTGTATGAGAGCATTTCTGGACTGTCATTTTAAAATATTATACATGCTTTTCTTTTCTTTTCCTTTTCTCTCTTTCCATTTCCCTTTTCCTTCCTTTTCTTTTCTTTCCCGTGAGCCTCTCTCTCTCTCTCTCTTCACTCTCACTCCCGTGCTCTCTATCTTTCTCTTTCTCCCGTTTTTGTCCCAAAACGAACGGATCTTGAACCAAGGAAAGATTTAAAGTAGTTTTCAACGCCAAGAGAAGGATTCAAGGTAAGATTTCTTGAATCTTGGATTTTCGGATTTCAAAACTTATTTTTGGTTCAAACGGATTTTCATGGATGTTTGAGTAAAATCATGGTAGAAATTAGAGATCTTGGGTTCTTTTGACTTGATTTAGTACCTAGAACCCGGATCTAGTAGTTTTCATTTGAAATATTTTGATTTGGGACTGGATTTGCAGGTCTTCAGACTGGTTTTCGCGAGCTTCTCTCCCGCAGCTGATTCCACCGGTCGACCTGTCTGGTTGACTGGATCGCATGGTAATCGGTCGACCAGTGCAGTCGACCGGATTGCATTGGACTGACCGGTCGACCTGTCCAGTCGAATGGATTGCACACCACCGGTCGACCGGTGTTGTTGGACTGCTCTGTCACCGGTCGACCGGTGCACACGGGGTTTGACCCTATTTGGGCTGAAATTGCCGTTTTGACCTCTGTTTTCGAGGAGAACCCAAATTAGCTTCATTTGGGGACTCGGGATAAATGGATTATCATTTTTAATCCTTGT